ATTAAAAGGGGCGCGTATATAAGGTCTTTCTAGCTCCGCCCCTTTTGCCAATCCAACTTTAAGCTTAAATATCTCGGCTTTGGGCTATCCAATTTCAATAGTTTTTCTACCAATCGATAGAGAAAGACTTGGCGCATCTAATGATATGAAGCGCGTATATAAGGTCTTTCTAGCTCCGCCCCTTTTTGCCACTAACTTTAAGCCCAAATATCTCGGCTTTGGGTGGTCCAATTTCAATACTTTTTATACCAATCGATAGAGAAAGTCTTGGCGAATCGAATCATACCAAGAAGATTGAGTTTGAACAGCTCAAAGCCAAGATATTTGAGCTTAAACTTTGCCAATGGGAAAAGTTAGATCGTTGAGGGGCAAGAAAGACGATTCAATTGCCTAACTTTGAGGCAAAGCTAGAGCCAGAGCAATAGGCAAACCTAGAGCTTCCGTTTTCAGTAAAGCATTCGAAAATAGCGTTATAAATAAGAAAATAGAGCTATTTTTTGAAACGAAAAGCTCAAAATTGCGAAATTTATTGAAAATTAGAGAAAATCGGTCAATTTTTGATGGAAATTTTCGGATTTCATATTAAAGTGTCGAAGGAAAACGAAGAAAAGCCGAGAAAAGCTCAGAAAAGCTCAGAAAAGCTGAAAGAAAGGAATCAACTTCGAAATCTTTGAAGAAAGAAGCGAAAAGAATCATGAAATTCGGGCGCGACACGGAGAAATCTTCGGAAAAAATGACAAAAGAGAGATTTTGAGGAGAAAATCGCGGAAAGGGTGTTCGGGAAATGCGAAGAGAAAAGAAAAGAATATGTTCTGGATGTCAAAAGGCTTGGAGAAGGGGTCCAGGGGTTGGAGCCGACACAATGTCCAGGCCTGGCCAGGGGACCCCCTAGGGAAATGGCGACCCTCTCTTTTTTAGCGCCCCACTATCACTTTTTTTCACTTTGTTTCAAAGAATGACCTCCATAATGGCTACTGGCAATGAATTGATGGCTATTTATGAGCTCTTTCACCGCATAGAGCCTTGAACTGACTTCAGGCCGATTTTAAGAGTCACAGGGATTTTTGAGCACTTTTATGCTGATTTTCGGCTATTCTGGAATGCACTGCGGCTCATAATCACGAAAAGAAGCTCTATAATAGTCTCTATATAGTCTCTATGTTTTTTTTCGGTTCATTTACGCAACTGCCCAATTCTGTTCAATTTTGAATTTTGAACACTAGGATTTCCAAATGACATCCAATTTTATTGCTCGTAAACTTTCGGGGATCATTTACTGCAATATTCAGAAGAAAAACGAAGGGAAAACTCAGAAGGGAAAACTCGGGGGGAAAAGTCGTAAATTGAAAATGCATTACCTATTGTCTTCAGAAAAAAAAGGGAAATGGATGAAAGAAAACTAGGAAAACTTGAATAAAACGAAATTTGTGGATGATTTTAATGATTTTAATGATTTTAATGATTTTAAAGCTTCCAAGGCTTTCAAGGCTTTCAAGGCTTTCAAGGCTTTCAAAGCTTCCAAGGCTTCTCAAGGCTTCTCAAGGCTTCTCAAGGCTTCTCAAGGCTTCTCAAGGCTTCTCAAGGCTTTCAAGGCTTCTCAAGGCTTTCAAGGCTTCTCAAGGCTTTCAAGGCTTCTCAAGGCTTTCAAGGCTTCTCAAGGCTTTCAAGGCTTCTCAAGGCTTTCAAGGCTTCCAAGGCTTTCAAGGCTTTCAAGGCTTTCAAGGCTTCCAAGGCTTTCAAGGCTTCCAAGGCTTCTCAAGGCTTCTCAAGGCTTCTCAAGGCTTCTCAAGGCTTTCAAGGCTTCTCAAGGCTTTCAAGGCTTTCAAGGCTTTCAAACTCCTTCAAAATTCCCTCAAAATTCCTTTAAAATTCCTTTAAAATTCAAAATTTTGATTCTTTTTTTAAGAAAATCAATAAAATCAATAAAATCAAGAAAATTGTTGATAATAATGCATTTTTGGACACGTTGTAAAGAGAAATAAGCTCAATAAGTACTTCAAAAAGCTAAAGAGCTGAAGAGCTAGCTAAAGAGCTAAGCTAAAGAGCTAGAGAGCTAAGCTAAAGAGCTAAAGAGCTAGAGAGCTAAAGCTAGAGCTAAAGAGCTAAAGAGCTAAAGAGCTAAAGAGCTAAAAGCTAAAGAGCTAGCTAAAGATCTAAAGCTAAAGAGCTATAGAGCTAAAGCTAAGGAGCTAAAGCTAAAGAGCTATAGAGCTAAAGAGCTAAAGAGCCAGAGAGCTAGAAAGCTAAAGAGCTAAAGCTAAAGAGCTAAAGAGCTAGCTAAAGACCTAGCTAAAAGCTTTAATATAACTGTTTTTGATTTAGAAATGAATCCAATGCTTGATCGTAGTATTGTTCGGCTTTAAAAATGGATGAATCTCTTCAGTAAAATGGAAAGATGAGGTCAACTTTGGCTTTTTCCTTTTTCTTCCTTTTGCCTTTCGCCAAATCAAATTTGATTTCTCCTTTTTCCTTCATCAGAGTGAAGAGGAGAAGAAATAAGAGCAAAACTCTTAACAAAATACGAATGCGTAACGAAAAATGTCGAAAAATGTGCCCAAAAAACTCGAGTACTATAAAAACTTCATTAGAAGACCAATTTACAAAACAAAACCAGTTTTATTAAAGATCTAAACTCTTAAAATGCAAAATTTCGAAATCAGTCGCACTAGGGGGAGTCGAACCCGGATAGTGCGCGTTGTAGACCAGCCTGCTCCCGACTGCGCCACGGAGACCGCGAGCACCGGACCACAAAACTCGAGCTTAACCGGGATTTTCGGGTCTTATAGATAAAAGGAAAAAAAAACCCGAAAAGCCGCCTAATAGCGGGTTCTTCTGGGTCCTCGAAGAAGGTCTCTGTGGAGCAGTGGAGAACGCGCTGTCTATAGCCCGATACCATCCGGGTTCGACCCACCCTAGGATAACTGGCATTCGTTTTTTGAATTTTTTTGTCTATAAACCTATCAGGGTATTGTTTTTGGAGCTCTAGCTCCGATCAAAGTCTCGTACAAATTGCTCTTTTATAGATCCCATAAAGATTCTAAAAGAACAGTTTCCAATGGAAGACGCTTTTGAAAGAAGCGTTGAAAAATAGAAGATCAGCTTCCAATTGAAAACTAGATCCAATAGAAGATCAGTTTCTAATAGCAGACCAGTTTCTAATAGAAGATCAGTTTCTAATAGAAGATCAGTTTCTAATAAAAGATCAGCTTCCAATAGAAGATCAGCTTCCAATAGAAGATCAGTTTCCAATAGGAGATCAGTTTCCAATTGAAAACTAGATCCAATAGAAGATCAGCTTCCAATAGAAGACCAGCTTCCAATAGAAGATCAGTTTCCAATAGGAGATCAGTTTCTAATTGAAGACCAGCTTCCAATAGAAGATCAGTTTCCAATAGGAGATCAGTTTCCAATCGAAAACTAGATCCAATAGAACCCAGTTGAAAGATCGAAACACTTAAAATCCACTATTTTCCTATCCTATCCTACTACCCACATTTTCTTTCTCTTTCTTCCTCTTTCAAAGTTATCATTTCTTTACTTTCTTTTCTAAGTCTTGTTTCTTCCTTTTGAAATAATATTTTCAGAGCTGATGAAGCGACTGCCAATTCGCACGAATTCTCTGGAGGAGTATCGAGCTATCGAGCTAGGGAAGACGACTAGTCGAATTCTTCAAGGAACGAGAAAAGAAAGGGAAACGAAATGAATCAAGATTCGGAGAATGATTTGGACCTAGACATAGAACTGCACAAGAAAAGAAGAAAATGAAAGGCCTATTCAATCAATTTCAACCATTCGATCAATTCGATCAACTTATTCAATCAATTTCAAGCTGGAAACAATCGAATTTGCAAAGAAGATCTTAAAAAAAAGCTTTAGAAAGCTTCAGAAGGCTTCAGAAAGCTTCAGAAAGCTTCAGAAAGCTTCAGAAAGCTTCAGAAAGCTTCAGAAAGCTTTAGAAGGTTTCAGTAGGCTTCAGAAAGCTTCAGAAAGCTTCAGAAGGCTTCAGAAGGCTTCAGAAAGCTTCAGAAAGCTTCAGAAAGCTTCAGAAAGCTTCAGAAGGCTTCAGAAAGCTTCAGAAAGCTTCAGAAAGCTTCAGAAAGCTTCAGAAAGCTTCAGAAGGCTTCAGAAAGCTTCTGAAAGCTTCAGAAAGCTTCAGAAGGCTTCAGAAGGCTTCAGAAAGCTTCAGAAAGCTTCAGAAAGCTTCAGAAAGCTTCAGAAAGCTTCTAGAAAGCTTCAGAAGGCTTCAGAAGGCTTCAGAAGGCTTCAGAAAGCTTCAGAAAGCTTCAGAAAGCTTCAGAAGGCTTCAGAAGGCTTCAGAAAGCTTCAGAAAGCTTCAGAAAGCTTCAGAAGGCTTCAATCAAGTTTCAGGCCAGCAGAGAAATAGAAAATCGAAAAGCGATTGGTTGAGAAAGTCGTGGAAGGGGTTGAAAGGAGGTGGCCAAAGCCTTTTTGGTAAATTGGCTGAACTATGACGATTGGATGATGCATAGAGATCAGGAAATCATAAAAGGAGGCAAAGCAAGGCTCCATTAATGGATACAATAGATCTCCCCCTTTCAATAGATCACTAGAAATGATATGGACGAGGATCTCATCGCTGGATTTTCATTGATGAGGATTGTCGTTGATGGGGATTGTTGTTCACGAGGATTGTCATTGACCAGGCTTGTCGTTGACGAGGATTGTCAAATCAGAATTAAGCCAAATTTTCTTGCCGATCTTATCTCAATTCAACCAAAAATTCTCAATTTCAAGCAAAAAACCAAAATCTTTAACCGGAGCCGGATTCGAACCCTCGACCTCTCGAATCAGATGCTAACCTGCTAACCACTCGGCTATCTGGACACTGAGTAGCTCGCTGACAAAAGGAGATTAAATCACAATCGCTTTGTGATTCGATGCATATTTTATTTGGATTTCTAATGCTAATTTAAAATTCAATATTTCAATATTCCAATATTTATCTTTCTCAAACTTTCAGAAATCTTTTTATTGATTTAAACTTGATTCTCTCTTTCTCTCGTTTCTTTCTCTTGATTCTTCGCTTTCTGATTGTCGTTGAGCGAGGAGATCGAGGAATTCTTCGGCGAATTCACCTAGAAAACACGATTTTTGAACGAAATTTCTTCAAATTATTCTTCTTTAAGTTTTTCTTTAAGTTATTAGTCCAAATTTTAGAGAAACAAAAACTCTGAGAATGAAAAAGTCAGTTCTGGCAGGCACAGAAACGTTTGAAGTTCGATTGAAGTCCTTTTCTCGGTTTATTCGCTTTTCTATCGTAATCTTGTCTTTATTTTTTATCAAATCGATCCATTTTTGATATCTTTCGATTCTTTCTGAAAAATCAGACAAAAATCAGACAAAAATAGAGACAAGACTACGGTAGAAAGAGAAAGGGAACGGAGAAAGGGTTTTAGGGAACGAATTGAAGGAGTAGGCATACTGTAGGTTAGGTTGAAACATAACAACATAACAAAAAAATTGAAACATAACAACCCAGCTTTTTTGAGTGCTGAATGTCTACTGTGACTTCCAATTTTAAGATTACAGTAGTCGAGAAAGGGGACAGGTTTCAGGGAACAGCTTAGACGCGAGGAACTCTTTCAGGTACTGTAACCAGGTCACAAAAAACATAACAACCCAGCTTTTTTGAGTGCTGAATGTCTACTGTGACTTCCAATTTTAATATTACGGTGGTCAAGAAAGGAGGCACCCTTTAGGAAACGGATTAAACGCGAGGAACACTTTCGGGTACTGTAATCAGATCACAAAAAAACATAACAACCCAGCTTTTTTGAGTGCTGAGTGTCCACTGTGACTTCCAAATTTAAGACTACAGCAGTCGAGAAAGGGGACAGGTTTCAGGGAACCCGAGGAACACCCGAGGAACACTTTCGGGTACTGTTTGTGACCTGTACTTTCGGGTACAGGTCACAAAAAAGAATGGCAGTCTAATTCCCAACCTGATCTTCTATCCCTTGATCGGCAATCGCTTCCTTTATCCCAAAATTCGTCGATGACTCTTTCTGGAAAGTTATCGTAACATTTAAGTTGTGACGGATCAAATTTTGGGTCTCCATTTTAATCATGCAGGCTTTTAGGGTCAATTTTTTTCATTTTAAAACCAACCATCCATTGGCTCAACGATCTGAAAGTCTATTGGTAAGAAAGAGATCGAAAAATCAGTCAAATTATGATACCTGTGATTTAGTAAAGATATTTGAAGTTTTTTTTTCTAACCTGATCCTCGAGATGCAGCAATTTCTCCCCAAAAAGATCTAAAGCCAATTGCCCGAGTGGGGCAGTGACGAGAATGGCGATCACACTTGCTGAAAGAATGATTTCAACGAATGGAAGAATTGAGGGGAATGGGGTGGAGATGAGCACGATTGATGGAGCGAGAGCCGCCTGGAAAAGAAGGGATTCATGGTTTTTGTGGGTTTAAGAAGCTACCGCAATCTCTAACTAGGAAAAGGTTGAAAGGTAAGTTTTTCTCTGGACTAATGCATTTTATAGAATCGATTTAGAATCTAGAATCCGAATCTGAATTCGAATCTGAACCAGGATCTGAATCCGAATCTGAATCCGAATCTGAATCTGAATCTGAATCCGAATCCGAATCCGAATCTGAATCCGAATCCGAATCCGAATCTGAATCCGAATCTGAACCAGGATCTGAATCTGAATCTGAATCCGAATCCGAATTCGAATCCGAATCTGAATCCGAATCCGAATCTAAATTCGAATCTGAAATCAAAATTTCCCAAATGACTTTTCAAAGTGTAAAGCTTCAATCGAAAATTGTTTCAGAAGAAAAACAAAAACAAAAAGTTGGAGGAGGGATCGAACTCCCATCCTGTGAGCGACAGTCTAAAGCTTTATCCACTAGGCCACCAAGGGAGCCTGTCCTCAGGTCGAAAAGAGCCTTTTAAAGTATTCTACTGGCAAAACACAAAGTGCAAAAACAAAACCGAAACCCAAAAGTAAAAAGGATCCTTTAAAAGGCTTCTCTCGAGGCGATCCAAGGTCTCTTGGTGGCCTAGTGGATAAGGCATTGGACTCAAGCCCATAGGACCGGGGTTCGATCCCGGTTGCGGTCATTCTTGTTCTTTTTCTTTGTTTTTTCTAGGATTTTTTCAGCTAATTAGATTCTGATTTCCTTTTCATTTCCTCAATCGTATATTCTTTACACAATTTGCATAAATTCCTTTCAAATTTACGAATAAAATAGTCGGATTCCGGTTGTTTATGGTCGCTTACAGTTGTTTACGCTCGTTTACAGTTCTTTACGATCGTTTACAGTTGCTTACGATTGTTTACGATCGTTTACGGTTCTTTACGATCGTTTACGATCGTTTACAGTTCTTTACGATCGTTTACGGTTGTTTACGATTGTTTACGATCGTTTACAGTTCTTTACGGTCGTTTACGCTATCTAGTCTCACCTGAACAGTTGCTTTTGGCAAAAATGAGAAGATAAAAACGAGTTGCTCCGAGAAACGAAGGCTTGTACGTAGGGTGAGCAAGAATATTGCAATGGCACGAGAAAAGACACCGATGAGGAGACAAGAAAGGCCGATGAGGAGACTGGAGGGAGAAAGCTGGAGAAAGGATTGAATTCAATTCATTTCAACGGTTGAATACACTACTTTAATTATCTCAAATTTCATCCCGATCAACACGAAGAGCACTGGTTGAAAGATCAAATCCCAGAGAGTACCGAAAGAGCGCTGCTCGATCAAGATCTGTGAAAAGAAAAGTGGGTAAGTGAACCGAGAGCTATCTAGTTATCTAGTTACCTAGTTATCCAGTTATCCAGCTATCCAGCTATCCAGCTATCTAGCTATCTAGTTATCTAGTTATCTTAGCTATCTAGTTATCTAGCTATCTAGTTACCTAGCTATCTAGTTACCTAGTTATCTAGTTACCTAGTTACCTAGTTACCTAGTTATCTAGTTACCTAGTTACCTAGTTACCTAGTTACCTAGTTACCTAGTTACCTAGTTACCTAGTTACCTAGTTACCTAGTTACCTAGTTACCTAGTTACCTAGTTACCTAGTTATCTAGTTATCTAGTTATCTAGCTATCCAGTTATCTAGCTATCTATCTATCCAGCTATCTATCTATCTATCCAAAGCTGCTCAGCTCTAAACCTGTTTCTGATTATCCCGTTTCCATTGAAAAGCTGCCACCAGACAAGTGACGACTAAAGAGATCGAGCCGGTGAACTCGATGTTGATTCTAAATTGGGTTTTTTGAAAAGTTTTAAAAGATTTTCTTTAATAATAGTTCCATCTGGATATCACAGAATCAGATTTCGTTGTTAAAATCACCTGATCGCAATGAAAAGTTGAGCACATGAAAGAGTGATGAGTAGAATTGCGCGCGACAAATGGGTATAGGTGTCATTTGGACGGGGTAGCCACCAAAGGACGAAACCTGGAAAGGGAAAGATCTTATGAGGCTTTTTTAGTTATAAACAATTAGAAACAAAGCAGTTCTAGTAGGTAAAAGTTCAGCCAGAATTACAGCAGCTTAAGCTGAATGTTTATAAGTTGAATTGGGCCTCTTGTAGGCCTCTTTTCTCCATTTTAATGACCCACCTGACATCAAACCGATCACAACACTGCCAATAATCTCTCCAATTGTCAGCATCATCACATTTAGCATCGAATCTAGAAAGTTAAAAGAAAACTATCAAAATCCTCCTTTCAAAATCCTGGACTTTAGTTTAGATCATGTCAAACTCTTTGCAATCTCTTTTTTTTCGCAGAATGACTTCCATAATGTCTACTGGTAATGAATTAATGGCTATTTATGAGCTCTTTCGCATCATAGAGCCTTGAACTGACTTCAGGCGGATTTTAAGAGCCACAAGGATTTTTAAGCACTTTCTTGCTGATTTTTGGCAATCCTGGAATGCACTGCAGCTTATAATCACTAAAAGAATCTCTATATGACTCTCGGTTCATTTACCCAATTCCAGAAATTGGAATGCTAGCTACAGTAACCCTAGAGGTTAAAGGACGTCAAAGCTACAGTAAGCTACTATAGCTTGGCCCAGGCTTATTAAAAGTTACTGTAAATCCGGAATTACAGGGATTCCAGAGCGGTTTTCTTGAGATTGAGCTCTGAAAAAAAGGCAAACCTTGAGCAAAAAGGATTCCCATTGAAACAGTGTACGCGACGATCAAAAGGACATTGTCGGCTGAGGCACAAGCGAGGATTAGTGAGGGAATACCCTGGAAAGAGTTCGGTAGTTGTTCGGTAGTTGATTGATCGTTAATTTGAAGCTATTTTGTCGCTATTCTGTCGCTATTTAGTAGAAAAGTATGGTTAAGACTTTACTTTTACTCTAGTTAAACTACTTTACTCCTAAAACTTACTTTCCTTCCAGAAATGGCAAGAAAATGTCAATTATGTTATTTAACATAAGAAATCAAAAAAACTAAGATCGATTGACGGTATGGGGGATCGAACCCGGATCGTGTGGGTTGTAGACCACTGCCCTGCCGACTGCGCCACGGAGACTGGGAAATCTCTCAAAAATTTAGCCAGAAAAACCAGAAGGAAAGCTTAATACTTGCTTAAGAAAACGCTTCATGGTGATTTTTGTGGCGAAACTTGAGGGCTGTTTTTCTGTCGTGGTGGCACAGTGGGGAGTGCGAGCTTTTACAGGTCGGAGGGTCCGAGTTCGACTCTCGGTAGTGTCAATCATGCTTAGGTTTTTGATTTTTTTCTTTTAAATAATATAACTAGAGTGGTTCTAAGGTTCTCTAAGGTTTTTCTAAAAGATTTTAACTTGATTGGTCTTGATTGGTCTTTACAGGGCCTAGAAAATGCCCAGGCAAACAGACAAACGACAGAGAGGACAGAGAGACGACAGAGAGATGACAAAGAGACAGATTAAACCTTTTTCGTTCCATATTTCGCATTTTGTAGCCTCAGCATTGATGGAACTGTTACCGCTGGAGAAGTGGCGGCAAGGAGAAATCTGAAATGAAATGAAATGAAGCTTTTTCGTTTACTGAAGCTGAGTAACGAAGCTTTTTCGTTTACTGAAACTGAGTTGCAAAAGCTGAATTGCAAAAGTCAACGCTAAACCAAAGCTAAACCAGGAGCTTTTTATACTTTGTGCTGTACAACAGCTGTACAACAGTTGTAAACAGCTGTCAACAGCTGTCAACAGTTGTAAACAGCTGTAAACAGTTGTAAACAGTTGTAGACAGTTGTAAACAGTTGTAGACAGTTGTAGACAGTTGTAGACAGTTGTAAACAGTTGTAAACAGTTGTAGACAGTTGTAAACAGTTGTAAACAGTTGTAGACAGTTGTAGACAGTTGTAGACAGTTGTAAACAGTTGCAAACAGTTGTAAAAAGCTGTAGACAGTTGTAGACAGTTGTAGACAGTTGTAAACAGTTGTAAACAGTTGTAAACAGTTGTAAACAGTTGTAAACAGTTGCAAACAGTTGTAAAAAGCTGTAGACAGTTGTAGACAGTTGTAGACAGTTGTAAACAGTTGTAGACAGTTGTAAACAGTTGTAAACAGTTGCAAACAGCTGTCAACAGTTGTAAACAGTTGCAAACAGCTGTCAACAGTTGTAAACAGTTGTAAACAGTTGTAAACAGCTGTCAACAGTTGTAAAAAGCTGTAAACAGTTGTAAACAGTTGTAAACAGTTGTAGACAGTTGTAGACAGTTGTAGACAGCCTGTTTCTAGCTCGTTAGACAATTCTTCATTTCCTAATGATTGAAATCTAGTCTCTAGAAAAGATTTGCTTACAAAATTCACCCAAAAACACATAAAACTGACCCAAAGACAACACTGATTCCCCGGGGGAAATTGAAGAGAAAATGAGCGGCTAAGAAGACAGCCAATGATTCGATTAGTGGCCCAATCACACCCAAAGAGATCAGAATACGCTGAAATTTCAGCAAAGCTGGTAACTAGTAAGTTAAACAAGTCGAACAAGTCAAACAAGTCAAACAAGTCAAAATATCGATGAAGACTCACCGGTGCCGCTCTGACCACTTGTAGATTGATCCCGATTGAGCAACGGATCATTATCAATGCGAATGCCAACTTTCTCAGCACTGTGTCCCATTCGGAATCAATGTAAAGCCATTCATTGATCACAGGAATGTTTCGGAGCCCAATTCCGACAAGTAGAGAGCCTAGGAGATCAATGAAATGTAAGATTTGATCTCAAACTAGTGAAACTAGTGCAGGGCAACTAGCGAAAACATTTGCCAATCCTTGGCATCCATGGCAATTTGGTTTTTTTATGTTTTTCTCAGCAACAACGTTTCTGATTTGACCATTTTGACTGTCATTCGATGCAGAATAAAATTGCGCGTCGAATGACACCAAAACGACCTCAAAATATAAGATACACGCAAAGTTATGAGGCAAAAGGTAAAGTGGGCGCGGCTTAGGTTTTTAGCCAATAACTTTGCATAGATATTAGATTTTCAGTTGATTTTGATGTGATTCGACGCGCAATTTCATTCTGCATCGAATGATAGTCAAAATAGACAAAACTGCCCACTTCAAGTTAAGCCCCGCTCATAATGGACGTGGTTTACCTTTTTCGCCAATAACTTTGTGTAGCTATTATATTTTGAGGTGATTTTGACTATCATTCGATGCAAAATAAAATTGTGCGTCGAATGACCCCAAAACGACCACAAAATATAAGGTCCACGCAAAGTTATTGGCTAAAAACCTAAGCCCCGCCCACTTTACCTTTTGCCCGATAACTTTGCGTGGGCCTTATATTTTGAGGTCGTTTTGGTGTCATTCGACGCGCAATTTCATTCTGCATCGAATGACAGTCAAAATAGTCAAATCAGAAGCGTTGGTGCCGAGAAAAAACATAAAAAACCAAATTGCCAACGGGAAAAAAGGATCGACAAATGTTTTTGTCGCGTTTACGGTAGGTTTTTCCCCAACATACCCAACAATGGCGGTAGATGAAGATAGAAAAACCCTCTGCCGACAATCAATCCAAGAACGACAATGAAAAAAACGGAAATCGATGATTTTTTGATGTTTTCCCCGTCTTTTGACAAAGTTAAAAGATCAAATTCGGTCAAATTTCGGGTTTCTGAGGAAATGGCTGAAAAATGGAGAAATTAGGACAGCTTCAAATACCCATTTCGCTTAAAGGTCGTAAACACACTTTTTTCTCGTGCACTAAACTCTTCTGTGACATCCAGATGGAAGAATGTAGTGCACCAGAAATCATATGTTTACAAAATTTGAATAGAAAGTGAAGGGGAATTCCTGGGCTTCAAGTACCCATTTTGCTTAAAGCTCGTAAACATCCCTTTTCTAGTGCACTAAACTCTTCTGTGACATCCAGATAAAAGATTGTAGTGCACCAGAAAGCCTATGTTTGCAAAATTTGAATCGAAAGTGCAAGGAAAAGAAAATGTCATCTGATGAACTCACCAAGTGGATGCAACAAGTTCTCATTTAAACAAGTCACAAAAGCAAGATATGAGGAGAGAAAAATGAGCAAAGATGTGACAATGATGTTGATCTGAAAGTGTTTTTTTTTGACTTGAAGGCTTTTTTAGAGAATTTTTGCTTGCCACACTAAAATGCACTAAACTACCGTAACCGTCCAATTTTTCTTTTTTTTGGCATTAGCCAATTTCTTTGTTTTTTTTGGCTTTTCACTATTATTTTTGTTTTTTTTGTTTTTTATCGTTATTTTTGTTTTTTTCGAGATCTGGAACTAAAGTTTAGTTTATTTTAGACATTTTTTGAATAGATCGCTTTGTTAGAAGGATTTCTACAGGACGATGGACGACTAATGCGGATTTTGATCAATTACGGGACGATTAATGCGGACTTTGATCAATTGCGGGAGGACTAATGCGGACTTTGATCAATTGCGGGAGGACTAATGCGGACTTTGATCAATGGTGGGATGACTAATGCGGATTTTTATCAATTGCGGGACGATTAATGCGGACTTTGATCAATTGTGGGACGATTAATGTGGATTTTGATCAATTGCGGGAGGACTAATGCGGACTTTGATCAATGGTGGGATGACTAATGCGGATTTTTATCAATTGCGGGACGATTAATGCGGACTTTGATCAATTGTGGGACGATTAATGTGGATTTTGATCAATTGCGGGAGGACTAATGCGGACTTTGATCAATTGCGGGACGATTAATGCGGACTTTGATCAATTGTGGGATGACTAATGCGGATTTTGATCAAATGCGGGACGATTAATGCGACTAATGCGGATGAGGAACGGCTCCAAAATTGGAAACACATTTTTCATTCATCAGCTCGATTTTACTACACATTTGATAAGCTTACGTCGATGTAGTTTACGTCGATGTAGCTTACGTCGTCGATTAATCGATGTAAGCAGTACAATTCTCTACAATTTTGCAAGAATTCGAAGAAGTAACAAGCAGTCCTATTTTAGAGTGGCAATGTTAAGCAGTTAAGCAATGGTTTCTCAAAAACCTGCACGACTCAAGCGATCATCGACTACAGCAATATAATTCTCTGAAAAAGCTTTCAAGTCTTTTTTGGAGGCTTTTCTTTAGACTCCTTCTTGAAACTCTTGTTGAGCTACGAATTTTTGTTTTTCTTTTCCTCAAACCTGTCGATTGTCTCGGATCGTTTCGATTTTTTGTTTAATTTCTTCTTTCCTTAGACTCATCTGAGAATAATTTGAGAAGTGTTTCAATTGAAATCTTGGGAAATCGATTTTGGTAATGAATTTTGGTAATGAATCTGGGGAATGGATCTTGGCAATGGATCTAGGCAATGGATCTTGGGGAATCGATTTTGGCAATGAATCTCGGCAATGAATCTCGGCAATGAATCTAGGCAATGAATCTAGGCAATGAATCTAGGCAATCAATTTCTTCAATCAATCTCGTCAATCGATTTCCCCAATTAATCTCTTCAATCAATCAATCAATCAATAGAAATCATCGATTGCCCTAAAAGTGTTGAAAGATAAGCATTTCATCCAAAATTCCATCTAATTCCATCTAATTTCATCTAATTTCGTCTAATTTCCTCTAATTTCTTCTAATTTCTTCTAATTTCTTCTAATTCCATCTAATTTCATCTAATCTCATCTAATTTCTTCTAATTTCATCTAATTTCATCTAATTTCATCTAATTCCATCTAATTTCATCTAATTTCATCTAATTCCATCTAATTCCATCTAATTTCATCTAATTCCATCTAATTCCATCTAATTCCATCTAATTCCATCTAATTCCATCTAATTCCATCTAATTCCATCTAATTTCATCTAATTCCATCTAATTCCATCTAATTCCATCTAATTCCATCTAATTCCATCTAATTCCATCTAATTTCTTCTAATTTCATCTAATTTCATCTAATTTCATCTAATTCCATCTAATTTCATCTAATTTCATCTAATTCCATCTAATTCCATCTAATTCCATCTAATTTCATCTAATTCCATCTAATTCCATCTAATTCCATCTAATTCCATCTAATTCCATCTAATTCCATCTAATTCCATCTAATTCCATCTAATTCCATCTAATTCCATCTAATTCCATCTAATTCCATCTAATTCCATCTAATTCCATCTAATTCCATCTAATTTCATCTAATTCCATCTAATTCCATCTAATTCCATCTAATTCCATCTAATTCCATCTAATTCCATCTAATTCCATCTAATTCCATCTAATTTCATCCAAAATCTCATCTAAAAATAGATCCAAAAAGGTGAAATCATAAATCAAAACGAAAACCAAAAAAGAAAAACAGGAAAGAAAAACAAAAAAGGAAAAGGGGAAATTTTTATAGAATCCAAATTTCTCGTCCTTTTTGCTCTGAGAATTTCCCGTTTTTCTCTAGGATCTCGTCACAAAAAAAGCGCAGACAAACAAAAAGAAAGAACGCAAAATTTTCCTTGGGGATAAATAGGGGATCGAGGAGAGATTTGTGTTGATAGAAACACTCGACTCGTCGAAACAAAAAATGTCACATTTTATGCCTTAAAGTCAAAAAAAAACGATCGGAGAGAGAGAAAAATCGTTGACGACTAGAGAAATGATGGGATTCTTTTGGAAATTTATACGTTTTTCTTTTTAAATTCAACATTTTTTAGCCGAAAACATCAAATTTTGACTTAAAACATCAAATTTTGATTTAAAACATCAAATTTTGGCTGAAAACATCAAATTTAGACTTAAAACATCAAATTTAGACTTAAAAACATCAAATTTTGACCTTAAACCATCAAATTTTGACTTAAACCATCAAATTTAGACTGAAAACATCAAATTTTGACTTAAAAACATCAAATTTAGACTTAAAACTTAAAAATCCCGTCAGAAAGTATCGCAAAACTGTACTTGTTAATTTCTACTAAAAATGCTGAAGGCTTTTAGCTTCTCTAAGCTTCTTTCAGCTTCTTTCAGCTTCTTCAAGCTTCTACAAGCTTCTTTCAGCTTCTACAAGCTTCTACAAGCTTCTACAAGCTTCTACAAGCTTCTTCAAGCTTCTACAAGCTTCTTCAAGCTTCTACAAGCTTCTTCAAGCTTCTACAAGCTTCTACAAGCTTCTTCAAGCTTCTACAAGCTTCTACAAGCTTCTTCAAGCTTCTACAAGCTTCTACAAGCTTCTTCAAGCTTCTTTCAGCTTCTTCAAGCTTCTACAAGCTTCTTTCAGCTTCTTTCAGCTTCTTCAAGCTTCTACAAGCTTCTTTCAGCTTCTTTCAGCTTCTTCAAGCTTCTACAAGCTTCTTTCAGCCTCTTTAAGCTAAAAACTCGAAATTTTTGAGTAAAAATTTTCTATCAAACTTTCGAGTGATCTAATTTTAATCAATTTTCTTGAAAATTTCTTGAAAATCGTTTAAATTGGGGGAAAATTTAAGCCGCCTAGTCAACTGATCGCGTCAAATGAACCGGCTTTTGATGGCGACAAATTTGTGAATTTGGTGAAGAGATTAGCATAATGATGAGAAAATTGATGAGAAAATCGCCGCTTTTTTTGTTCGGCATGAGGGAATATGATTTTTTTTTCTCGAAAAAGATCAATCGACGACCGTTGCTTATGGAAAACAAAGCGATTTGCAAGCATTTCACGGGGAACTCGAACTCAGCGTTGCACTTCAGGGAAAAGAGGTGCAAAATTCACCATTTTGGGCATCAAATTCAGCTCTGATGAGTTTGAAATCATCAAAACAAAATCTCGATTCATCGCTGGCTCAAAAGTCACTATTTCGGGCATTAAACTCAGCTCTGGTGAGTTTGAAATGATCAAAACAAAATCTTCGTTCATCGCTGGCTCAAAAGTCACCATTTCGGGTAACAAACTCAGCTCTGGTGAGCTTGAAATGATCAAAACAAAATCTCCATTCATCGCTGGCTCAAAAGTCACCATTTCCGGCATTAAACTCAGCTCTGGTGAGTTTGAAATCATCAAAACAAAATCTCCATCCATCGCTGGCTCTAAAGTCACCATTTCCGGCATCAAACTCAGCTCTGGTGAATTTGAAATCAGCAAAACAAAATCTCCATCCATCGCTGGCTCAATCTTCAGAGTAAAATCTTCTTTTCTCTCCAAAAAAGAATTCTTTTCGACAAGATACTTTTCAAAAGCTTTGTTCATCATTTGTAGAGCTTCTTTGTGCTTTTTTGAAGTCCAAAGGTTTCATAGTTGTTTAACAAATGGGTTATTTGAAGTGAATGTATGAAAGATTGCTGGAAATCGATTTCGAGTCGCTATTCCTTCAAATAACCCAACCAGCCACAATATTCGCTGTCCACGATCTCCGCTGTCCACGATCTCCGCTGTCCACGATCTCCGCTGTCCACGATCTCCGCTGTCCACGATCTCCGCTGTCTTTTGATCATTCATCTCTTCGATAACATCAAACGCAATCATTTTAGAGTTCGTCATTAGGGAAAACTTCCGCAGAAAGAAAAGCCGACTTTCAATTCGATCAACCGAGATTTTCTTGCAATTTGGAAGAGATTTGTGGAAGATTTGGAAGAGATTTGTGATGTAAAGATGTTTTTCATCTTCTCCATTCCATGTGTACCAGCTGAGATCCACATAGATTCGACCAATGACTTTTTCCTTGAAAATCAAAAAGTATTCACGAAAATTAGCCCATTTTCATTGTCCATATTCCACGAGTATCAAGTCAGATCCAAAAAGATTCGCTAGGTCACCTTTCCTTTGAAGATTGCAAAATGCTCGCGCATCGCTGGATAGTCTAACATCGTTTTGGTTTCTCCAAGAGAACCCAACTTTCCGAGAACTTCCAATGCTGTCTCTTTTTCGGCATTACTCTCGATCCAACCGGCTGTTCGGATAATCCCAAAGTGGATGCAGCTTGTGGTCCTCTTCAAGAGAACTGATTGGCAACGAAGATCGATGAAAATCGAAGAGCTTGGGTGTTTCTTGATCTCGACAATGTGCATTGAGCGGAAAATGATCGAATGTACGTGTTCTCCAAAAATCCACGGTCGATTGATGAGAATCGCGCGGAATTTCTTGTTGTTCTTCATCAATTCGATGATTTCCTTCGGATCCATTTGTTCCAAGATTCCCAACTTCAAATCGTAGCAGCGCTTTTCCATCGAAAACTTTCAAAGGTTCAGCATTGGGAGCGGAAGATTCGCCATTCTACCTGAAAATTGAAAGATCAATTCGATCCAAAAGAACATAAATAATGCATCAATATCATTTACTTCACTGATATTGTCAATAAAATTCTCAACGCAAACATAAAAGTACCATTCGGAATCTTCAATCCTCTCAAAATTAATTGCAAAAACTTTTGCAAAATTTATTTGAACTCAATAAAAAAGTGGTGTCACAAAAGTAATATGAAAAATACAAATTATTCAAAAGCAGATAAGATATCAAAATTGGAATGCATAGCACTGATTGGATAAAGAAATTTGGTACTCATAAGTTCTACAAAATACAAAGTATTTAGCGCCTCAACAAATCAGGTTAGAATTGAATCGATGGAAAATATTTGGCGAATAAAAAGTATTTGGTCACAACGTAAATACAGGCACGATTCTCGTCGATTCCCTTCCAATAGCATTGAATTGGCCGGGCAAGGGGTTCACCTCACCAGCAAGAGCAAGTGTTTTCGCAGCGTTCTCATTGCACGAAATAAGCGGCTTCTTTATTTTCACTCGGAATTCCGGAATTCAGAATCAACTCATTTCTCAAATTTGATATCATCATCATCAGCACCTCTCAATCTCAAATAACTCGAGCTGAGTCTTCAAAAGTGCCGAATAAACTGTTGGATAAAGCAGAGTCGTAGCAGAGTCGATTCATCGGGAAACCATTCTCGTAGTTCGCCATTCTACCTGAAAGAAAAGAAATTAAATCAATTCTGTCGAAACACAAGAAGAAGTTAAATCGAACAAATGATACAATACCGAGCAAAAGTCTTGCAAAATCACTTTTTCAAAAAATCGATGAAATTTTTTTATAGAAAATGCCACCCGTTCGTAGGGCTTTTTTGTTTTTAATTAGAATAACAGGTACTTGTGGAGTATCCGGGGGGGTCTTTCAATATCCGGGGTGGTAAAATTTTAAGATCCGGGGTAAACAAGATGCACGAGTAATGCAAGAACATAAACATAAACCAAACATAATAATTAAATAAATTTGTGAAGTACAACAGTGACTATTTGTAACAGTGACAATGAATACTATTGGGTTGGGGAGAATGAGTCGGCGCCGAAAATCAAAGAAATTTCTAAAACTTATAGCAGACTTTGTCAAATGATATCCGTTTGATATCCGTAGAAGGGTAACTAATTCTCTACAAAATAATATTTAAAAGAGAACTCAAACAGTGCCTCAACTCAACAAAGGATCATTTTTTCACAAAATCGATAAACTGTCATCTAGAGTAAACGGTTGGAGGGATCTTCATGAAAATTTGGTAACTTATGTAATTGAGTGTGCTCTATCTTTTTTATATAAACACCAAAGGAGGTTTATGTGGAAGAAACTGTTCAAGCAATGAATCGCACTTTTTGTCATTTTGATTAGCTGTGTTTGGGAATTCATAAAATCCCAGAAAAGAAAAGCTTTGTGGAATCTCTCAAAAGTCATTTTGTAAAGAAATAGTGGACCATTTTGATGAAACAAAACGCGTGTATTTAAAGAAGGTTTTATGGGTGCAAAAAGTTTCTTTAAATTTCGGCGCCGACTCATTCTCCCCAACCCAATACTTGTAAAAATCTATCGAATTTACTTCTAGGCCAGGAGGCCAAATATCAACACATAAAACTACCCCAAAAAATGGTTTTGAAGAAAAAAAAGTGACCCGCCAACTAGGATAGTATCAACATTTCTAATAATGACATAAAAAAATTTTGTAGAAGTTACGTTTTTTGATCGAGTATCACCTCGAATCGCGTAATCAAATAATCACCTCGAATAAATTGAATATCTTTACATTTGAAGGGAGTTTGCCACCAAATCACTTAAGCGGCTGAATATCTTTAAAAGGGGTCGTATATAAAGTATATAAAATTTTATCCCACCGGATCAAAATTTTACCACCCCGGATATTGAAAGACCCCCCGGATACTCCACAAGTACCGAATAACACATGAACACTTTATTTACAAAAACAAATTTGAAGTACAGTGTAAAACAAAAAAAAGTAGATGACAAAACTACTAAAAAATACCCTACAAACTGGGTGCAAAAGTCTTGCAACATTATACAGAAACATTATACAGAAACACTATATTAGGTTGGTGCAAAAGAAATTTCGGTCGATATAAAATGTTCTTATTTTTTTAATCTGAAGAGCTTATTTGATGTTCTTTTGTGCATTTGTACTCTTGGATATTTACTTTATTTTCGCATTTTTTCAAAGTCAGAGCTTTTACTTTTTAATTGATTTTTGCTTTAGATCATGGTGGATCAAAAGTATATTCTGCGCACGTGTCTTCTCTTTGACTTCAAAATGGGCAAAAACGCTGCTGATTCACATCGTGATCTCTGTTCCGCCTTTGGAGAACAGGTTATCACCGAAAGATCATGCCAGCTCTGGTTTGCCCAATTCCGAGATGGTAATGAATCCCTTGACGACGAATCGCATGGACATCGTGCCACAGCCATCGACAACAATGAATTGGAACAATTAATTGAAGCTGATCCAATGCAAACAACACGAGAACTTGCCAAACATCTCCAATGTGATCATTCAACAATTGTATGCCATTTGGAAATAATTGGAAAGACAAATCGTAATGGACAATGGGTTCCACATCAATTGAGTGTTGAGAATCTGGGAGCACGCGTTTCGATCAGCCATATCTTGCTCCATAAGTCGAAAAGAAGCCATTTTTTTGAGAATATCTTGACGATGGATGAGAAGTGGATTCACTTTGATAATACTTCTCGAAAAAGACAATGGCTGAGCAAAGGTCAAGCGCCAATTCCAACTCCAAAGCCGGATTATCATGGGCGCAAAGTGATGTTGTCTTGCTGGTGGAATATCAATGGACTTGTTCATTTTGAATTATTAGAGCCCGGAAAAACAGTCGATTCATCTTATTTTATTCAACAACTCAAGAAGGTTGACGAAATTTTGCGTGAAAAAGGCCTAAATCCCTCAACTATCAACTTTCTCCGTGATAATGCTCCAGCTCACACGGCAAAAACCTCTTGTAAGGAACTCGAGAAGCTAGGATGGAAGGTCTTACCACATGCGCCGTATAGTCCAGACTTAGCACCCTCCGATTTTCACCTTTTCAGATCGATGCAACATTCCCTTGAGAATTGCCAGTTTAAGAATGCAAAAGAAGTCGAAAATTGGGTGATCAACTACTTTGCATCACAGAATCAAGCGTTCTTTGAGAAGGGGATCCGCAATCTGAAGCAACGTTGGAGGGATGTCATAGATAATAATGGTGCTTATTGTTTTAAATAAATTGTTATCTAAAAAAATTTTGGATGACTTTAATGTTTGTAAAAAAACGAAATTTCATTTGCACCAACCTAGTACAGTGGTCCACAAAAGTAATGCCCCATCGCCATCCAACAGTATGTTTTGTAAGGAAATCTTGCAAAATCGACATTTCAGAAAAAGAGTAGGGTATTTTTACCGACCCATAAGACTCGACTTTTCAAGAATAGAAGATTTATCCGTATACATTACATACAAATTAAAGTATAAAACAAAAACAATATGCTACTTGAAAATTAGCTCCACAAAAGTAATGCCGCATTTGCAAAGAATTAACACAATTTTTTAAAATCAATACTTGGTTGGTTCTCCTTTTGCTTTTATTACTTCATTGAGTCGATTCGGCATGGAATCCACGAGATTCTTCGAAAGACTTTGGGAGATGGTGGCCCAGAGACGTTGAATGTGAACCCATAAGGCAGCCTTTGAATCGAATTTCTTTCCCTTGAGTCGTGACTTCACAGATGACCAGAGATGCTCGATAACATTGATATCCGGTGAGTAGGGAGGCGGATTGATCAATTTGACTCGACTTGCCGCAAACCAGCCCGGAAGTCGT